TATTTGACGTACGTTCCCTGCCGGGAAAGCCATTTTTATGGCTCTGCACAAATTTCGATATTCGCGCCATGGATATGTTACTTATATAAAAAAAATTTTGAGAAAAAAAACCACTATTTTAACGAAAAAATTCCGGCAGTCTAAAGGTTAATGTGCATTGATCCAGTGTAGTGCGATCGAATTCACCATTACTATAATCATTTTTATTTTTACAAAACATATACCGCTGGTTTCATATATTCATTCTTTCGTTTTGCTTTTCACTCGTACGTTTTTTCGCACGCTCACCCACTGGTTCGTTTGCTCGCTCATTCGCACACTGGACTCTTATTATTATACGAGTACATCACGGGTTAATGACTCAATTTTCTACACTGTTTTCTATACTCCGCACGGGTTACAGTCGTTCCCAGTTACTTCATGCATTTATGATCTCAAAAATCCGCGATTGGTTGACGATTAGGAATGCAGCTCGATGCTTCAGTGCGCGGAAGCCATTAAGACTTTACGTGCGCGAAATACTACATACATAAGCTATATGTATATCGATTTCACTATAAATTTATAATTTATGCAATGAACAGAGAGGCATTCGCAGCAACAATGTGCCGGAGTTAAGAATTTCAATTAACCTTTATTTCGAAAACATGAAATTTTAAAAATGGAATTTTAATTTGTCTCAACTAAATTATTTATTCTTAATTATTTAGCTATTTTTTTATTGAGAGCTTTGCTATTTATTTTTTCTCAAGTTCGTATTTTTAGGTTATCATTAGAACTGTATGTGTTTGTATTTTTATCAAAGTAGAAAGCTTTAATCTAGTCCTAAGAATTATAGAAAGATAAAGAGTAAATGTTAAACCGAGATTAAAGTTAATCTGCATTGGTAGAAATGAACATTAATCTGTTATATTGTAAGTTGGAGATTACTTTCGATGGTAAAGCGATCGTCAGTTTTCTTAGTTTAGTTTCTAATCGTTGAGATTAGATTTACGTGATTTATCTTGTTGCTTTCCATTTTCATTTCACTTGGCGATCTCGCGAAGAAGTCGATCGCAATCAATAGTATCGATGCGTACACATAGCAGGCGCGCAAATACAGATTATTTTTTTTAAATCTGTGCTTTACGTATCGACGATGTAATGTAGCGTTCTCCAACGCACGTTTTACACATGACGGATCTGCGATGCAGGAAGCCGCTGCTTAAATTTAATGTTCAATAGACCGTGTGGCTGGACCCCCGAACCAAGCGTTTTAATGCCTCGTTCAATCGGGACGAGACCGAAATGCATTTGAATAGAAATCGGAATGGCGACGCGTGCCGATCGCATCATCATCTCTATTATTATTTCCGTCTCGACTTTGATCCTGCATTATGCATGGAATCATAGCTTATTGCGCTAGAAAACAGGTATTTAATTAACATTCAAGAATTCGTCGAATCACTATTTGAACACGACTGTTAAACTTTTTCAAAAGAATTATGCCCTTTTCTATCAATGTAGATTAACTTGAATCTTGGTTCAACTAACTCTTCATTTTTTTTATTTTAAATTAGAAAATTTGTTTTGTAAAATTAATCTACGTTTGTAGAAAAAGGAATTAATGTATTTATGTGATAATCTGATATAAAAAGTTTTTTAATAATTATTAAATTAGAGAACGCACGTAATTATGCAACTAGTGTTGAAAAATCACTTTAAATTTGTTAATATACGTTACAAATTTTGTAATGCAAAAATTAAGGATGTCTTTTTTTTGAGGAGAAGGAAATACTTATGGCGATCGTACCTGTCGAAGGGGCACGGATGCGTTTCCGTGATGCAACAGTCGTCTGCATGTGTAGGAAAGGCTCGACTTCCGAGTACACTGTAAATAAATATGGGCTGGTATCGTCTCGTCACGCACCGAGAGCTTCGAGTTGCATATCGCAAACGTTAGATAAACCTAGTGTCACATACATCCGCATAGAAGATCGTCGATGATCGATCAAGCGGCTCGAGATGTATTTCTCCTTCGAAGCTAGGAATCTATTAACATTTTCTTCATCCTGACTTGAAATAAAATTATTCGGCAACACGTACGAAATGTCCTGGAATTGCCTGAGATCAAATTTTTCAGAAATAAATTACAACACAAAATGCTGACAAAAAAATTATGCAGTACTCTGAGAAAAATGTCTGTTTGAAAATGAACGAGCCAGAAGATTTCGATCATTTATATCATTAGAATTCTAATTATCTCAACTAGAATTATAAATAGATTCAACCAGAAAATTCTGATTTGTCCAATTTTAATTAGCATTCCAATTAATGCAACCAAACTCTTTCCAGTCTAGAATTAATTTTTGCAAATTTATATTAATCTTATATTTGATAGAAGATCTTAACTCAGAAAATATTTATTTTTTTGTGTTTACACATATTATAATTAAAACATACCTGGCTGAAGAAAAATTTGCTTCAAATTTGAAAAATACCTAGAAGCGATACATCCATTCCTCTGTGATCTTATTTCTCACTTATCGAGTTGAGAGAATCAGTCGCGAAAATTCGCACAGTACTGTCTCATCTTTAACGAGGTGCCGTTAATGCTTCTTATTAGCGTCCGTGCTGGAATCGACGGTACAAATTAGCCGCGGCGTCAGTTCACCTTCGACCACCGTTCGGTTTACTCGATTCCGCCCGCGACTTTAGACGATTTCTCATCCCGAAATAACCTCTGAATTATTTCCCGCATTACAGCCGCTCAGAGACTGCTCTGTATCGATTCCTCGAGTGACATTCGTGCCGCGAGTCGTGCCGCAAAAAAATCTATATACCGTCGATCATGACATTAACCTTCATAATGCTAAACATGCATATATGTGAAACTGAAATTTAATTAATGAATGTGTGAAATGAATGTGTGATAATTTTCGTATAAATTTGTAATAATTTTTTTAGCCGGCGTCACGTTCAAGTCGCGGTGATTTTTTTCTGATTTGACGATATGATGATTGGAGAATATTATTTTAAAAAAGAATTTATTTATATTTACGAACTATATAAAAATAATAAGGCGAAAAACGAGTAATATTAAGGCATCGATAATAAAAATATTATACGACAAAAATGTTCAGATTATTGAGAGCAACTGTTTCTTGTTGTAATAAGTTATTTTTAAATCGTACATTTTAATTTTGCTCGTTTTTGGCTTTGTTACTTTTACACTGCTTTGCAAAATATGAGTTTTTTTTTAATTTTATTTTCACCTAAACAAGAATATTGCTTAGATATTTTTTTAATTTTACCCGACTACAACTTTTAATATTTCTCAATTTAATTCGTACACGATACCGGACACTGCCGCAATGTTTCTTTCTGGTCGGATGACTCGCGTATGTCTCGTCGGGCGGAATCAGACGGAATCGGTATCGTGACCGATAGCGCATAACGCCTGGACTCATCAAGGCGGACCGAGAAATTGTTTATATGGTGGGGGCCCCGCACCGAGCGAAATTATTCGCTCTGGGAGTCATAATAAATGCGTTTATGAAACGCTGCTCGGTGAACGTTGTCAGTCGATCGAGTCGCGCCGCGCGACGCTGATACATCACGGATGCGTCGTCACCGATTTTTCCGATGGCCGCTCGATCCATCCAATTTGCCAATGCGCGAACTTTTTGGTGCGACGTTAATTATCTCGCCCCAGTTTCGCTCTATTAACTACTTCGCCGCATCACACGCTTCATAATGACCGTGCCCGACTGCAAGTTACATGTGTGACGAAAAATGAAATTTAAACTTAACGAAATTAAGAAAATAAAGTCAAAATCATGTTGCACTAAAATGAATTTAAGGAAAAAATCTGAGCAAATTTATATATGACAGAAAATGTTATTTTTTTCTCCAAATATTTTTCTTTTGAATAACAGATTATTTATAAAACAAGACACAAAAGAAACAACATTATTTATAAAATAATTTAGATAACAGATTATTTATAAAACAAAATAATTATAATTACAAATTATAAAATTTACTCTATTCGTAAAAAACAATAATAAATTGAATGGACAATGTTCAAAAATGAATTTTACGGGCTGTACTGTTAAAATTTAAATTTTTATATTCACATGACATCTGTTGTATATTACTTATAAACTCGTAAATTAGACATACCGAACATTGTTCATGCAAGTGCATTTATTTTTGGGTTCCCGAAGAACGTTTGTCAGGGCGAATATGCTCCCGAAGGATAATCCACGATCGTGTGCTCGAAGAGAGTGAAAAAAAAGACGATGTCTTCGGAGTTTAAAAGCCTCCGCTTTTTAAAGATCGGAACAGAGTGCCACGAAGAATTTCATGAATTTTCGCCGCGACGTCGTGTGCGTGACGGGCATTGTCCAGGATTAAACCTGCACGTTCCTGAAGAGGTTCCCTACAAATCGATCGCGCGAGTCGCTACAGTCCTCCGTTGTCTTCAATTCGATATACTTTCAGTGATACCTCTCGCGCAAAATACAGCGGTAGCAAGAATATATCCAAGTTCGAGCGAATTGTTATCGATGACGAAGTAGTGGGAACATCGTGCCAATCTTTTCATTGACTTCAACAGCGTAAATGGAGCAAGGCTAGTTACATTGGGATATTACTAGATGACTATAACTGTATAATCTACGAGAATTCGTGAGAGAAACACAAGAATTGTATTGGAGTTGTTAACATATCGTGGGAAGAACAAGGATTTACATGGGAATTGATACGTTGTGGAATTTATGTAATTATTATTGATGATAAGATAACAGACGTATAATAATTTTAAACGTCTTGTTAAATTTTTTAATACAAATTTATTGTACAGATTTAATTACAGATGAATTACGAAACGCGTGTTAGGATTAATTTGTTTATGACGAATTGTTGAGAAGATAAAATATACGTTATAAATATATATAAATATATATCTTAATATTTTAATGTTAAGGAAGTTACTACTAATAATAGTATAGCTTAAACTTTCCTTAAAAATACAATATTTGTTATTAATTGCTGTAAATTCAACATGGATTGGTTATCTCTTTGTGTCTGTGGCACAAAGCGCAATTCCAACGATAGAAAGATCAAGAAGGACGGAAAGCGCAAAAAGAATAAGAAATCTAAAAAGAATTCCAAGCAGAAAGGATCATGCAAAGAGTTGCCGTTCATCGTCGACGAGTTCTTGCGCAAATCGCAGGATGAACAATCAAAAGAAATCGCGGAAAAAGACTGGACGAACAGAGAAATCGTTAATTATCTCAATGATTGCACGAAAAATCAAATCGCCTCGACTGATCAAACCGATCCATCGGAAGTCAATGGCTCATCGTCTTATCAAATCAGTGACGATCATGAGAACTTCGAGAAGGATTCTCTCAAGGACTCGGAAATAAATGCGGAATCTGTTCGAGAACTATGTGATATCGATTATTATGATAATGCGGTGCTGCATTCGAGAAGTGCATCGAGCACGGCAGAAAAGCAAGTCAAGTGCATCTCGGATGAGAAAGAACACGATGAAGATGCGGATCTGGACGAATCCATTCCGAGATCATCGGTAGCATCCGGAGGACCCGAAGATTCGTCCTGGACGTCGGAAATCGAAGGTAGACAGGATGCGGTCCTGGAATCGAGTTTTGATAAAAAGTTCAATGAAAGAGTTTCGTCTAGAATTAATTTTTCCGACGAGAAGCAAGAAAAGTCGAAGACGAGAGCCGTTCCGAAGAAAAAAGGGACCAACAGAAACATTCTTCCACCGATCAAAGGAAGATCTCGCACTGAAACTTGCATGGATAATGAGGAACTGCAAGCCCATGAAGAGACGAATAAATTTGGTTTTAAGAAAACTGCGGCGTCTTACGAGCGGAACGAGATTCGGCGGAAATTGAACTCGTGCAGCTTCGAGGTTCGACCGTATGAGGATGAAGAAGAGGGCGGAAAAGAAAGAGGCGGAAAAACAACGAAGATTCGGGGCGATGGATCCATGATACCTAGACTTGCATCCCCACTGCGACAGAGAATGAATTCGATCAAGAACGACAGCGATAAATCAGAGATCGTGGAAAACGGTACATTGTTACGCGTAAAAAATTATGTACACATAAAATATTTGATAAAGCAAAATTAGAAATGCAATGTCTCAATTCTGATCTTATTAAAAATACGTTTCGAAAATTATTGTTAAAAGAAATACTGATTTTATGAAAAAATGTGCTGTAATTTTTTCAGTTTGACTCTGTTATTGTCGAATTAGTCTCTTTGTAATTTATTACTACACGGTTTGAAAAACTGGAAAATGTATTTAACAATTCAATATTATTACACAGAAAGAACGGTTTTCCTGAAGTATCTAAAAATTTAGTTAAATACAGAGCTGAAAATAATTTTATTGAAAGATCAAAATAATTATGTAGGATGCTCAAATTTTGATTGTTGAAACTTTTCGCAGCTTGCTCATCATGCTTGAAATTTTTCCATAATAATTTTGATGATCCAACAAAATTATTTTCAGATTGTATCTACTTAAATTTTTATGTATATTTCAGCAAAATTGTTTTTTCCATGTATACACCAAAATTCAGTCTTGACCGTATTTAACGCTCTTTTATTTATTTTGTGTTATTTATTTATTTATTTTGTGTTATTTATTTATTTACTTTGTGTTTATTTATTTATGTATTTTATTTTACTCATAAATTGTAAACTATCTAGAGAGGAGAAGATACGCTTTGTTAGGTACTTTAAACGACGATATTCACATACACTCGCGTAATCATTATAACCGCATTACTGCAGTCCTTATATGTTGTAATGAATAATTCTTGTTCCAGGTCGTGTTCACTCAGCAGTTGTCTCCGGTATCAATTTAGAGCAGCGCACTGTAACTGTAGAATGGTTCGAGAGAGGAGAAACCAAAGGCAAAGAAGTAAGTGCGTGCACGCTCATAAATTATTCTAATTACTCAGAAATAGAGTAACGCAAGTTTGGGTTGGGTAAAAGCTACGTTTTGAAATCAAGTAAAACTAAAGTTAACTCATATTAATTAAGATAGATATAATTAATATTTATATTATTAAACGATAAAATATGATTTATTAATATTTTTTTAATTTCTAATAGTTTTATACATTTTTATACAAACAAAGTACATTTGAGAATTCCTCTGTTTAATTAATTTGGAAGTATATCTTCTTAGTAGCGACTTTCTTATTTTCACAGAATTTACTTAAAAACTGTATACAGTTGCCTACGCATGTTTCCTCGGACACACATGTCAAGTGGTGTGTTTTTATCTCATGTTTATGGAAAATAATTGCGCTACGGGCAACTTTCTCTCGCGATTTCGCTGCATTGAACTGCAATATTTTAATTCTCTACATCCGTAGGTCATGGTTATTTGGCTATTTCAATTTCGCAATGCTTACGCAATGCTACAGGGCTAACGTGCAGCTCGCTAACGGGGGCGCGAATCTATTTCTGATAGGCTTGCAAGTCCGTAGATTTACCGTCAGTCAAACCGGTCAGGTCGAACGTGATTTTTGTAAAAAGTCGCGCGATACAAGAATGAGACTCGTGAGAAAGTGAATTTCCGATCATAAACAAAGTATCATATGACTGCACGATTTTACATTTCTTTTTGCGATTTTTTTCACGAATTCCGGCAACAATTTTATTTTATATATTATACATAAATATTAAATGTTGAATTCAAGAGGATAACCCGTTAATTATCCATTCTATGTTAATGCAGGGATTTTTTTTGAGGATCCCATTAGTTCTTTCATAATTATACATTTTAACCGCGGAATTAATTGTGCAAGAAGTACACACAAATGTCCCAGCAAAGTTTTATTCCACGCCGAAAGGTAATTTACGTAACAATAATTTGCAAGCTATGGAATTTTAAATGTATTTTCATTCAAGTAATTTCTGCTCTACTTTTACGTATCGCATAATCTATTAACCTCACCCTAAAGAAACGGATGATCTCCATAATGTCGTTTCTGCTTTGAAATTGATGTCGATTGCGCATTCAGTAATTAAAAGAAATTGACAATTCAAAATTATTTCGATTTATATATTTTTTTCAGGTGGAAATCGACGCGATTCTTGCCTTGAATCGCGATTTGAATCAAAAAATGGGACCACGAAACGAGACTATATGTGCGCTGCCGCAAGCAATGAAGATAGGACCACGAGACGACGGTACGTGTGCGCTGCCGCAAGTGATGAACAACCACATGTTGGCGTCCTCAAAAACAAGGGTATGTATTTGTAGTTAAATTGATTCTTCTCAAAACGCATGGTTGAAACGTCGAACGGTGCGTTCCAGATCATTGTCAGGCGTAGATTCAATTGTCAATTAAATTTTGAAAGATGTAGAAACTGCTCCTATTCCATGTTCTATTCATCTCGTCAGATCTCGAAGATCTCCTAAAAATAAAATTAGCGCACCTGTAGAGAAACGTTAAAAAATTAACGACACGAGATAACGGAAATTGGAGATCTTAATTTTCTCCTTAATTAATCTTTTAATTTTTAAAAAAATGTACAAACAGGTTTTAAATTACAGAGGAACTTACTTATCCATTTGACAGATCAGCAGAGTAGTACGTGTACTACTATTAGATAAGCCAACTCTCGCGAAAGTCTCGCAATCATTCAGACGTTGATCCGTGAATGACGGTGCGCGTGCCACTTTGCGAGTCGAACTCCGCGCGGGTCTCGAAAAGCGTCCGCGTAAATTCGCGGTCGATCATCGACTGCCTTGGCAGAATTCTGTTTATCGGTTGCCCGGGCTACGTGAAATAACCTCGCTCCTAATATGGAAAGAATAATCCGATCCCGCGTCTCGTGGCGTTTACACCGCGGTAGGCATGTTCCAGTACCTGTACGTCTTTCAGGTAGGAGTCCCCGTCACTCGTAATCGGTCCACCACAAGCCTTCGAATCTGACGTGACGATGACCGTGGAGTCTGATCTCGTCAGGTCTCCGGCTTCCCCGTCACGTGGAGCCCGCGTCTAAGATAAACAATTGCGACTTCCGCTGCAAAATTTGCATCGTGCGTTTGTTGCTTCTTTCATTCTTGTAGAATTAGACGAAGGCTTTTTGAGATAGCTCCTAAGTTTGTCCTAAACAGTTCGTAGATGTGTGATTGCGTAGTCTTAACTTTCCTTATTAGTAATACTTATACCTACATGCAACAATCATCGTGCATTATATATACATAAATACATATATATATATTTTGCACAAAGTGTCGTGTACTTTGTCTTCAGCAATTTTTAAACCATGTACGGATTGAAAATTGGAAAATTTACTTCGAATTTATAAATTACTTCTAAAATAACTTGCATTTGTATTTTTATAAGAAAGAATATATTTATGAAAATTGAAATATTAAGAAAAATATTTTTTTATTATCAGAAGCGAAGTTAGCCTCTGACATATTAAAGATTGAAAGGCAATGGAATCCATAGGATTCGAGGACTTGAGGAGCCCAGCAGTACAAGGATTTTGTAACTTTTACTTGATAGTATCAATATCGTTGTATCGCGTTACGCAGTTTTTTTATATAATATCTTATACAATATCTATGCAACGATAATATAGCGATATCTGATACTCATCTAGTTTCTACTGAAACCTTCAATTCGCTTCCACTTTGGTGCAGATCAAATTTAGAGTGTCATTTCCATTGGAAATAGAAATCTTGTGAATCAAAGTGGAAGCTTCTGAAATGAGCACAATCAACTGCATTTCCATCGACTTAAAGTTGGTTTTATGTTATATTAGATTCGGTGGAAACTAGATCACCGTCGAGAGTTACAGAATCCCAATACTGGACCTAAACAATCCAATTTGGGCTTGGATGTCCATTCGTAATTTTGGAACCCATTGTAATTTCCTCAAGAAATTACCAAGCCTGTAAATACGTCGACCGACAATAGCCAAAGTCCGCAGCGTCATTTCCGCTACTAACATGGTAACATCTTTTTTTTCCTCCATGGACGCTGCTCATAATCACGGACTTCGTGTCGACGATGGACCATCGACCACCCCCGGGCAAAACCGATCGATAACAAACCGATCTCTAATACGAAACTCACGTCGTCTCGGCCATCGCTCATCCGCAAAATTGTCGTCTTTCTTGACAACTCTCCTCCTCATCGATTCCCTCGGTGGCTCCGTCGACCACGGGTATAATCGTCCAATTGATTTACGTAAAACTGGTCATGACCGCGATCTGTGGTAAGGAGCCGGACTCCTCGGCTGAGGAGGACGAGGGAGTCGACGAGTCGGAGAACCAAGAGGAGGGCTCCCTCGGACGCCATGGTGGTCACACCACGAGAAACGGCCTCGCATCCGCAACGCTTCCTGTACGAGTCACATCTCGTCTCTCGGTAACGCGCACCAACCTTCCCTCCCCCCCCTCATCACCGCAACAACTACAACCGCAACACAACCTCCTTTGCAGCAATAGTATTTTCCGCCGAACGGACCTTAGCATCTTCGAGACGTTCGCTTTTACGACACAAATTTATGATATCTTGCGAGTTTTATTACTTGATTCATAGTGTATGACGGAATTATATGGGAATTATACGGTATATAAATCAGTCTTTAGAAATTATTTAACTTCACACAAAAGACGATATCTTATGATTACTGTCCATTAGAACCAACATACATATATATATCCTTTGTATAATGGGAAAATGATATATTGCAACTTCATGGTGTTCCATATGTCATAAACGTTTGATGTAAGTGGAAAAGATCATGAAATTTATTACGCCATGACACAAAGTGATATTGGAAGATATATACGTGAAGTTAAATAATTATTTATAAAACGTAATTTGTGAACATTGAATGCTATTTAATTGATCAACACTGATTATTCATCATTATCATGCTCGCAGCTGTTTAAAATTAATGTTGTTTAAACTTTTGACAGGAGCTTTCTAATAAAGAAACTTAAAGAAAATCTTGTTTTTTAAGAATATATATGAGGTAGCTGAATTCAGTTTCTTAGAATTTTAACATTTTGCCTCCGGATGATTTCAAAATTCTAAAATTGAAAATTCAAAATAATCTGATTATATCTGTAGAATTTGATGTTACAAGAGATTCTTGTATCGCTGAGTTTAAATATAGCTTGAAAGTGTTGAAATTCAAATGAATAGAAATTTCCAATAAAGAAGGCTGTAGTGTCATAATTAGTTATTTTTGAAAGTCAATTTAAAAATCAATTTGGAAATCAGTCAAGAATCTATCTGTTTGTGTAACATAGATGAGCTTTAAATAAAACAAAACTTGAAGTTACTTTGTAATTAAAATTTCTATAAAATTAAGTTTTACGAGATAATTAAAGCATTTAAAAAAAATTCTGTCCACCTTATTGGATTCATCATTTTGATTTTTTTTTACTTTAGTTTCAGATAAAATATTATCCTATAGATCAAGTTTCATAAAAATCGAACGAGCAGTTTACAAAATAAAAGGAAGCGTGACCTCAAATAGGGTCGCCCGTTCACAAAGGGTTGAATAACTATTTTAAGATATTATTTTCAAGACCTATAAAAATGATGTAGTTTGAATTGCAAAAGACTTTCTTGATCTGCATGAATTTTGAGATTCAGTGTCTAAGCTTTTCTCGCACAGAAGATGCTAAAGGAGCGTTCGCTACCTTTCACCTTTTCTCTATCACAAGTGAAAAATGTCAGCTTTTCTCAAAGTGCCCATCTACCAGAGCACCGCTAGTTGCTAACGTTTCTTTTCACCCATTTCGCACTCGCTTGAATTCGACGAGATCTCGACAGGTTGATATCTCGACGAGTTAACTGAGCTGGCAACTTAGCGGATATCCAATAGACGACCAGCGAAAACTCGCCACACGGCTTTCTTTCATTTTCGTTCGTGGAAATGCTTAGTTTCGTGAAACGGAATGGAAGATCGCTCAGCGTGATTGCTCTACACCGTGACTGGGTCAAAAACCGTGTCGTTATGTACGGCGATCGATATGTAAAAGGAACGCGCGGGCGTGATTAACGGGCGGATCGATGTGAACCGTTTTCTTATCTCTTGCGTCTTGAACGTGTCTAGCGGAATATATTGGCAAAAAGATGTATTATACACCCGGCTTCGAAGGAAGCACCGTTTTATTATTTTTCATTTGCAGCACTTCTTAGATTGTAAGTCGACAAACACTCCTCTCTTCGTTGCACGAAGAAACCCCACCAACCTCTTTAATTTAAATAGCTAAACATAATCTGTTTTCTTTATTTTCAGCACTCCACCAGGCCGTCTATTCCAGTGAAAGGTACGTTAACCACGAGGATTCTTTCGATCCTTTGCTATCTCGTTACACTTTGCTAAAGCGGCATCGTTATCGGTGAAATCGTAACGCTTATAAAAACTCTGCACGTGTGTGGCGATGTCTGTATTTTCGCACTTCGGAAAATTTTCATCATGAAATAGATTTCTTGGCCGCTTTAATTGCGACGGTGTAACACGTGTTTTAATTATACCGTTAAATAAAACGGATATAGAAATCTAACGAAACCAGACTAATTGCATGCGTTTCGCTTACACGCCACTCCGCCGATCTTTGTTTGAAAAGGGAGATTGGTGAACACGGAATAAATTTCCACATGTTTCCCGATTCACGCGCCGATAAGCGTGAATGACTATCGAACTTTCGGCGTTCGATAAGTCAACCTCGTTGTGGGACATCACGCCTGGTCGAGCGCATGTACGTCGTCTTTTCACCCAGATAAAGTCAAGTAGCGACGAGCCTTGGCTGCACGTGTATACGTCTGAGCCGTGACTATCGATATTCGTGCGCCGTATGCAAGGCAAGGGCAAGGACCTCGACGGAACCTACAGTACGACGTGTAGACCAGCTAAGGGGGTGTATTTTGCTGCTGACCCTCCTCTCTCTAGCACTGTTCGATTTACCTCGCCAGTGCGCACCACCCGGTGGAACGTCGCTCTCGTTTACCTCTCGCGACGAACGGCTCGGTTCTTAAAAGTCGTCAAGATTTCGCGTATGCCACGTCTACCATGAGATTCGACCCGCTCGCCTATTGTTTCCGAAGGAAAAAAAATAAAATCAGCAATTGCGAAAGTACAGACGTCGCCGGCGATGACAATCAGATCCTGACGCTTCGAATCGAAGACGACGACGCCGGTAATGCGTGTGGTGGATCTCGTGTTGGAGATTTTGTGATGTCTTTGTTGATAATACTATTGAACACCCAGATTCTCTCTAAAGTATCATACTCTTCAAATTTCTTGAAATGAAATCTCACTCCAAAAAAGTTAAAGTACTACCACTATTGAAAAAGAGTAAAAAATTTACTCTTGAATAAAAGTGCCAGATTTTCATTCTTTTTTTGGAGTGAGATTCATTCCAAAGAAAAAAATTTTTACTCCTTTTTTGGAGTGAATCTCACTTAAAAAAAAAAGAGTGAAAATCTGCCACTCTTATTAAAAAATGCAAATTTGTTACTTTTTTAGATAGTGGCAGTTTTAATTTTTTTAGAGTGAGATTTCACTCCAAAAAATTGAGAGAGTGGTACAAACATTTTTTCGCGTTTGCACACAATGCCTTTATAAAATTTTTGTAGTTAAAGTTTTGAGTCAATTGAGCTGGAACTGGCCTGAAATTAGGCATCATTCAATGCAAAAAAACTTCGAGATATGTACTATGAAATAATAACTTTTTGTTGAACAGTATAACTGAGCGAAAACGTATGTTCAATAATCCCGCGATTTTATCTCGAATTAAACATAAGTGTAAATTTGATAGTAAAAATGATTTCGCACACTTTGCGAAGGAACTGTAAAGTGCAACTGCGTTTAAAACTTGAAAAATTTTTTGTAGTTTCTTTTTACTAACGTCAGAAACAGATTTTCCTTTCCACTGATATAGTGATTAGAAAAAAAAAATATCAGATTCGAGGCGTCAGCGTGAAAAGAATTGGACGAAAAGATTGAGATAGATCATACGAGATCAAAGATATAATTTATGTTTTCCTTTTGATTTTATTCTTGACGTAGTCGGTTCGATCACCAAGGGTAAAGAGGACAATGCGGGCACCATTAATTCTCATACCAATGTTTCAGCTGGTTCGAATAGGCAATTGTCACGACCAACGGGTCGACCAACGAACATAATGTCGTCGACCACGTCGGTGAACGGTCACGGCGAATCGGTTTCCGGCCTCACAGGACGCCGGGAACTCGAGAATATACCGCCGACACCGACGACGGCCGTCACGCAATGCCTGATGACTCCGGTGCAGAATAGACAGCAGAAACAAGCGCAGCAGCAACAGCAACAGCAACAACAGCAGCAGCTGCAGCAACAATCCCAGGTAGAGAACGGTCGGGGTAGGCGATCCAATGTCGTCAAGGAGGTCGAGAGATTAAAGAAGAACAGGGAAGAGAGGAGACAACGACAAGCAGAACTTAAGGAGGAGAAGGAAGCGCTAATGAATCTGGATCCAGGCAATCCAAATTGGGAGTTCCTTGCCATGATAAGGTTGCTACTGATTCAAGAAATATTTAATATTATATAATTAGAATTACATACCTTGAATGAATTATTGATCTTCGTGGAATATTTGTAAACTTAGATAATGTTTTGTGATTGATAGAAGATATGATGTATGAACTGTATTGTTTAATTGTATTTATTTGTTTAATTTGCAGAGAGTACCATAACAGTATAGAATTCAGACCGTTGCGGGAGACTGACGCCGTGGAGGATCATCAGATCACTGTGTGCGTGAGGAAACGTCCACTTAACAAGAAGGAGCACGCGCGCAAGGAGATCGATGTGATCAGCGTACCCAGCAAGGATCAAATGGTAGTGCATGAGCCGAAGTCCAAAGTTGATCTCACGAAATACCTTGAGAACCAGATCTTCAGATTTGATTATGCGTTCGATGAGACGTGCAACAACGAGATAGTTTACAAGTACACGGCTAAACCGTTGGTGCAAACGATCTTCGAGGGCGGCATGGCCACGTGCTTCGCGTACGGTCAGACCGGCAGCGGCAAGACCCATACAATGGGAGGTGATTTTAATGGCAAAACACAGGACTGTAAGAAGGGCATTTACGCCATGGTTGCCAAAGACGTGTTCAAATGCCTCAAATTAGCCAAGTATCGGCCTCTGAATCTGGTCATTTCCGCTAGCTTCTTCGAAATCTACTCTGGCAAAGTGTTCGATCTTTTGGCGGACAAAGAAAAACTGAGAGTTCTGGAGGACGGCAAACAGCAGGTTCGCTTTGTTGAAATAAGAAATTTTAATTGGGTTTGATCGCTAAATTATTAGTTAAAGTTTGCGTCAATTGCTTATGTTTAATGTTACATATTTTGACACATAATCTTTATTGATTTCTTTCATTATGTATCAGTAAATTCCTAAATCAATTGGAAATTATTCGTGATAATGTAATTTAATTTGAAATTTTCTCGTGTCTAACAATAGGTGCAAATAGTCGGACTAACGGAGAAGTTTGTAGAAACTTGCGATGAAGTATTAAAGTTAATACAACACGGGAACAGCGCCAGAACGAGCGGTCAGACGAGCGCTAATTCTAATTCTTCGAGATCACACGCGGTATTCCAAATAATAGCGCGTATCCCGGGTACACACAAGGTGCACGGAAAGTTCTCACTCATCGATCTTGCTGGTAATGAAAGGGGTGCTGATACGTCGTCTGCTAATAGGCAAACTCGTGAGTAAATGTATAGTCAATCCTAAACGACAACTGAAATGATTATAATTAATAATCTACGACTTCTTTAGTTTTGCGACGTAACTAATGTCGTTACTGAAATTTTTAGGAATGGAAGGTGCTGAGATCAATAAATCTCTATTAGCATTAAAAGAATGTATACGCGCGTTAAGTCGTAAGGGTACGCATTTGCCTTTTAGAGCAAGCAAGCTGACTCAAGTATTAAGGGACAGTTTTATCGGTGAAAAATCAAAAACTTGCATGGTAAATTGTTTTATAGTTATATTATCATGAAATAAAAATATCAAAAGAAAAATAGGTAATTTACCATTCGTATTATTCGTTTATAGATAGCAATGATTAGTCCTGGGATGAGTTCCTGCGAGCATTCCCTAAATACGTTGAGATATGCGGATCGAGTGAAAGAATTGGCGGCAACTGATCCTACCGAAATAAAAGCTTCACCGACTGATGATGACCGAGGAATGAAGATCGAGGAACAGGGAAATAATAGTGTATTATCGGATAGCGATTTAGCGCAGCTTCGATCTCTCAATGTAAGCGATTCTCTATACAAAATCATAACAATATATTATAAAATTCCACAATTATAAATCGAATAATAGTAATTAAATATTATTCATTAATGTTAAAAAATATTTATGTATCCAAATATAATGAAAATAAGATACTTCTTCACAGGAAGGTGAACTTTCGCAAGATCTGTACACTTTTCATGAGGCAGTATCAGCTCTGCAAATGCTCGAAGAAGAAGTGTTGGACACGCACAAACTGGTCATGGATAATACGACTAAATTCCTTAACGACGCGCACAGTGTGTTCAGCGCGACTCATGAAGTGGATTATGACCAAGAAGGTAAGATAAATTTATTTTTGTTTGCACATTTACGTTTTTCTATTGGTTTTCCGTTTGTTACTGCTTTAATCTCTTACACCATATTGTGCTGATCGGTGCACTTCTGTGGAGAACGTAATACACAATTTCGACGTGTCTCTTCCATGTGTTATAAAAGCATGTCTTCTTTCTTTTCGATGTATCGAGAAGTTTTCAAATATGAAAAATTGATATTTAATGGGGCTTTTAGCGTCAGATTTTCGTGGTAAAAATTCACAAACATCATGTGGCGATAAGCATCGAATCTTCTTAAGTGACGATTCATGTTGCTTTTATTGAGATTATTCCGTCAGTAACTTATAGTAAAAACTTAAAAAGTACGAAATGTTGTACTTGCCGGTATCACAGTGCATCGCATTTTATAACAGATACGCGCAGTAAGACTAAGGCAAATTCGATCGTCACGTTAAATCATCACTGGAGAGACAGCAGCCCGACAAACGCGATGATAGTGATAAGTGACGACACGGACAGCGACACGCAGACTTTAAACACATTGGAAGTAGATACAACCGCGGATAATTCATTGATGTCTCCCTGGAAAAATGAGATGGAGCTCGGAAGTGATTTCATTTCAAATGATACCGAGGAGGACTCGATACGAGTTCTTCCTCGCACGCCTGTCAGGCCTATTATTAAGAAAAAAAGCATGACGACCAGTCAAATTGCTAGAAAGAATTCAATTAATAAAGGCACACCCGTAATAGAGCGTTCTATTCAAAGATCCAATCAAAGCCAACGGGTCAAAGGATCCATTATTAACAAAAAGAAGACTCAGAAATATCATTGGTCTGGTACATTCCGTGTTAAAACAAGCCCTAAAGATACGCATTGTAATACGTATTATTCGCCTCGCAAAGATAAACTACACGACACTTCGCGAAAATAAAATCTGCGAGTAAAGAAGATATTTTTAACCCGAACAAATTCGATCCTCAAACTATCGACGATTCGTGGGAAAAGTGGACCGACAGCAATGTTAGCTGTCAGTCTTATCGATCAATCGACATTTGCGTTAACGATTTTGAAAGATGTAATAACTTTAAAGACTACGATATCGATCAAGATAACTGCGCAATGCCGGCAGCATTTTCTAACGTTAATATTTTAAAACGGAGAAACATGACGGATATAAGCGATAAGAATAAGAACACACATGATATTGACTCTCGAATAGACAATAGTATTATTTCATATTCTCAACTTAAACATGATATCAGTAATGTTAACAAGGAAAATAGTAATTTTTGCACTGCCAAAGAGTTGGTCAAGCGTTCGACAAATGTTAAATCAAATATTAGAAAAACAATTAATGATAAGAAGACATCTGCTATTAAATTAGATTGCTATAAAATTTGGTATTCTTTGCTATCTTTCTTACAAAACGTTATTTTATTTTTGCTGCTGCCAGCAGTATACATTATCTTTTTTATTTATGTACAAAAAAAAGAGGATAAAAAACAGGATAACATATGATTATCTACATAAAACATATGAATTAATCCTAAGCCTTATTGTATGTCTTTATATGTGTGTTATTCGTAGAAAAAAGGGAATGATCAACAAAGGGAATGATAATGCTAATGAGAACTGACACAATTGGTTGTGTATAATCCATATATATACATATATATATGTGTGTATGTGTGTGTTAATCGCCAATTACAGACATTTTGACCCTAAAATTGGGTCGAGCGGGTAACCACTAGCTGAAATATTGTCTCACAGATTACATGATTTCATTTGATTACAAATAATTTTTTTCACTACATATATAGTAATTTGGTAAAATATACGATTTTATTTAATATTATACAATGATTTCTCGTGGTTGCATATGTAATTATCGGATTATACATAGAGATTTCATATGAATTTTATAATGATTTCGAAGACTCTGTCCCACGATTACATTAAATGGTTACTCCCTCGATTGGATCATCCTCCATCCAGTATGACTAACAAAGATTATTTATTATATAACGATGTGATATACTTGTGTCTTGAGAGTATGTGAGAGGTCGTCTTTCTTACACGGACTCCAATATTTGTTAGTCATATACTGAGGATGACCTAATTTTAGGATCGAAACGTCTGTAATTGGTGAATACATATATATATAACACACACACATATATTTAGATTATACATTAAACTTTCATTGGCATTACCATTCTTTTTGTTGATTCAATCTTTGGAACTTTTTAATTTTAATTATTGTGTCAAAAATTTGCCCATAGAATGCTGTTATAATTTTTTTTATCTTTTTATTTAATTTTAATGAAAATGCATTCCTTCGAGTTTAACCACTTGGCTGTATGCACGATTAAAATATTACTAATTGAGTGTGCCATATAGTAATATTATGTTAAATGTATTTTGATTTTGCAATCGCATTTCGTATGCAGCACTCGTCGTTTATCTTGTGGAATTAGTTTCTATATTTTAAGATCTTTTTAATTTTAAAACAATATTTTAAATAGACGAAATCCACTACAAAATATTGTATATGACATATGTATGAACTTATTATAAATCACGTATTTTAAACCACGGTATTTTATCAATATTACTAGCTTTTACAAAAAAAATGTGGCTAACTGTAGTTCGGATAACAATTACAGCAGAAAGTATAATTTGTTAGGTGCCTTATACTTGTACACTTTATATGAAAAAATCACATTGCATTGTATACTGTAGAAAAAATTTAATGTAATACCAGAAAACGTTACAGATTTGAGGCGGAAAAGAACAAAGTTTGAGTCACCCTACCTGAGGAGTTTCTCGTTACGTAGACATCTTATAGAGAGAAAACTATTTTCCGACGGTACGACAATATTATTCGATTAACAATTCTATAAAATAGTTCAGATAAACAGCTTGTTTTAATATGCACCATATGTATACTAATAATACGCGTCACATTATTTTCTCATCTTTATATCATACGCATTTCAATTAAATATATCCTCAAAAATAATATTTTTTAGCGATTTGATATCGGGAATTTTATTTGACTTTGCCAGTGTATAACGTCAGAAAAGGATTTTCTTCTCATCTACTTAAAAAATTTTGATTTCTATCCGATTATGCGGTATTTATAATGAAGCATCAAAGTCGTTCAATTTTTAAGACAATTGAATCATTTGATCTTTTTTAACTATGTCTATCATTATAGATATATTTAAAGAACAGCAAATTCAAGTCGAACTTACTGTTCCAATAAAACCGTGTACGAATAATTGAATACAAATTGTGTTATATAGAAGCAATATTTTGCAGCAAAATTTTACAATATTAATATCATACTTCATTTTTCTTGAAACGCAGACAGATCCTGGGAGGGAAACTCAACATTTTTCTTTTCTTTTTTATTGTTATTACGTATTGTTGTATTTTATTAAACATAATGTTATGACAAGTGTATTGTTGAAGGAATTATTAAATAATTTTATATATGTATATGTGTATACTGTAGAAATTAAATTTGAGTAAGATATGAAATTAACAGTGTTGTATATGTAAAATACGATTAGTATGTATATCTTAGAAGCGTGAACGTATTATGTTATGTATGTACGCAAACCGAATCTTTGTTAATAAATGTTATTTTTGTGGATTAAGCTAATGGCAATGTCACATTAAGGATGATTATACGAAAACTTTTTTAAGAAAACAGCTCAATCTCTGGCTTGTGTGTTCAGCTTAAGCTTCAATTTGTGTAGCGATATCGATATTTAATTGTATTTATATGCATATTCACATTTTACAAATAATATTCACATCTCTTAATCCTATAACTTCAGACGCTTTTAGACTGATTTATAAATAGATACAAATTAGGTATTAATATACAAAACCCATTAATTTTTATAATTATGCTTTATGAAAAAATAGTGGCTTCCATTTACAACTCGAGTAGTAAATTTATAAGCTAGATTTAAGCTATCTTTAAATATTCTTTTATTTCAAACTACTAACGATTACGTTTTAATTAACATTATAATTCTTGTTTTTATGAGTTTCATTGCAATATATGTTTACTTTCGCTGAAGCATTAACTTGTTAAGTGATTATTAAGCTTAGTAATTATGTCTACGATTGAATGAACTAAAACAGCAATGAAACTCTATGACAAATATGTAGTAGTTATTCACATTTTAAGAAGATGTAAAGCTAAATGCTATGCTCAAATAAATCAGGGGAAATAGCTCCAGCGTTTACTTATACGTCACCTCTATGTATATCCGATTTAATCCTTAACTACGCTAAGCCGATGTGTCTAATCATGCTCTTGGGTGCTCTGACGGGTGTGCGTGTTATCTGTTGCAGCATATGCCCAAAAGTGGGAGCAGCTGTTAATACAGCAACGTGACATTCTGAACGCCGCGCTCGACCAAGTCAGCCAGTTCCGCGGGCAGCTGTTGCAGGAGGAACAAATCAGCCAGAAGATGACCCGAATGCGCAACATCTCAACGCGATACAATTAAAAATGTTACCCCTAGCGAACGGAAAAAAAAGACACAAAATTATTTCTCACCGGTGAAAAAAAAAGTCCGCTTCTTATGTGTGTCGACTCTTTAATTACAAGCGCGCGCGAAAAGCAGATATGCCATGACACTAGTGCGACAGTCATAGGAACGCAAAATGTAACAAATGTCTTGCCTTCGAAATTGCTACGAAATGTACGTCGTCGAGATAGCTCGACTCGTAAATCTCACCCTAGCGATCTTGTATCATATAACGATTCTTCTCGAATGTTTCTCCATTGTAAAATGAAAGAATAGAAAAGAAAATTCCGCAGGAAGGGATATGTAAGCCGAAGTATGGCAGGCATAATAATAATAGTTGCTTAAAGATTCACCAGCGAAAAATTAATTATTTGTTTTTACCGCATTAGATACGTTCGTCTCGGCGGAAGTCGACGAAGAATTTTTTTTAGCCAAGATTTCTACTTAGTGCCTCTTTTAGTTTCGAACCGTAGAAAATTTTAAGTACATCCGGAATTTCTCTTAAGATAACAAACGAACGCACGTTTGATTTTGGCTCAGAGATCAAAGTTTCGTCAGTATGTAATTGCATATTTATTGAAATGAGTTCTTACGTGTTTTACATATTTTTTGGGCCGCACCGAGACCAGCAAAATTTTAAGCCGTCAACGACACATCGATACTCACTCAATTGATTGTACAATTTGTTCATCATTGAGATGCAACGCACCGCAAATGATAATGCATAAGTTATTACGCCGTCAGATAAACACTCATTTTTTTAGACTGTAGAATGCTAGGTATTATTACGAGGGACCCAGTGTATTATTGGATAAAGGAAAAAAGCCTTAAGTGAGCCGATTTGCCAGGAAATGCAGAGATATGTCGTGGCGATACTTTGTATACACTCATTTAACACACGCATACACAAGTGCATATACACACACGCGATCGACTCTTTCATAAACCAAATAACGACTGATTTCGAAAGGATGAACAAAAAAAAATGTAACTCTTAGCTCGTAAGAAACTATCCAGCGGCGCTCATCCGGATATTTAAGTTTCTTAGTATTAATATCGTCGACGGCATCAAACGGTCCTCTTTTTTTTTTCTTACGTTATTAAAAGTATGAGATTAAAATCTTCATTTGATTTATCAACGCATACTCTTGTGTTTTCTTCCTCACTCTGTTGAATTGCAACGTTCGCGGAGCGGTCTCAACGCGCGCTTAACAAGCAGCAAGCTTAATAAGCTTTACTACGGATACGTCCAATGGAATACCGTCGATTTTTATCACGATTATAGTTACTACGGTAAAGTTTTAACGTTCCCCTTTAATGCTTCTATGGACATATTTTCTTTTAACCAGAGGAGATTGATTCTTCGTAAGAAATAAAGCAAGAATTTTAATCCCATCCCGTTCCTGATCTCCACATTCTCTAAGATACATCGCGATAATTGATACCAATATGATGCTAATATTATAATATTATCTGGAATTAATATAAAGACAGAAAACAGTATGTTTGAGCCATTCTTTGGCCGAAAATATAGAGTTCATTTAATAAGTCATAGGAAGCTGATTATGTTCAGCAATCGTATATAAATTAAACATAGCAATTCTATTTTTCCTTTGTATTTTATTGGCGGTTTCTCGATATTTGTTTCTATAATTCGCGTCTAAAATATTTCCCTTATCTTGTTATTCGTGCAGGCCGACTAGTTTTGTCTTATCACGATTTGTTGAAGATCATTGCATTACGATGCAAGAAAATATATTGCACTGCAGTCGCACTAGACAATAGAGAATTAAGAAGATTTATAACGCGTATATCGCACGTCACATGACTTTATCTCTCGAAGATTTTATTCCAGATGCCCGTTCTTGTATAAGCGTAAAATCCTCGTGCGTGTCAGTCTCACGAGTTAACAATCATTACGTGTATCATACGTGTATACGCTCGATTTTGTAAACGTGTAGTGTTCTAATGACTCGAGGGAAGTTATTCTTGGTCTTGGAACTTAGAGATAAATTAACAAAGTAACAACAATAATGCGCGGATAGATGAGAGTAATGGAGCATCAACCTTTCTGTGTTGACAAGATTTACGATTTTTTATATAAATATATAGAGTACTCAGCGCGGAGTTGTAAAGAAATTGTTTGAGATTACTGTTGTATTAAAATAATTAAAAGACGAGATGTCACGCATGCCGCCGAGGGCATCCTCTAACTTAACTTAGCATACTTATCGAGTATGTAATGTTGATCGAAAATTGTGACCACATATTAGCGAGTTGTGCTTCACTTAAAAAATTCCCTCGTTACATATCCGACATTTCTGCGATGGTTGCTAAATGTGTCGCCTTAATTAACAAATGCTAAACGTTTCCGAGGCAGTTCGCGACTGCTGTAGCTCAGGCATATACCATATTTCCCTATTGTCGAGATTTTATAATTTAGCTTTTCTTCAAGACCATGAAAAAAAAATTCGCGTTTCACCACCTCGAATATAGTATTTTTTAATAAATAGTGGCGCGATAGAGAGAGATGTTAATATACTTCTTATTTTTTTATAACTGTATAATTTATGCGAAGGGAGACGAGTAAATCAAATATACGACACGTATCCTCCCCACATCCCTCCCCTATTATATGTCGTACTTAATAGTCGACTTCTAAACTATTCTAATTTGATGTGCACAGAAAAGTTTTGGATACGTATGAGAGGTTTCACGTTGTTGCTTTATGAATGAAATAAATCAGATTGGAAAATGAACATTCAATTACGTTCCTCGTCCTAACCAGTATATCTCAAAATTAAAAAAAAAATAGTATGCCAATAGGAAATTAGAGATGTTTTCCAGCGAGAGACAGATAACACAATGTAACGTAAAGTGAATCATTATATTCTTGTCTGCCAATATTAAACGAAGATAAAATTATTCACTATGTTACACTGTTATTTGGCACTTGCTGAAAAGTACCGTAGTTAAACAAAACTTCTTATGTGGCAACTATATTTTTCCTTTATGATCTTTTATATGCTTCAATTATTAGAAACACTAAAACTGTTCGATTTATTTTGTCAGTCAGATCTGTGTATTGATCATGTGACTTTCCCTAGGGCGAAAAAGTAAAAATTTTTTTGTATGTATATGATGTGTATACGTACATATATACGTACATAAAAAATTTTACTTTTCCGTTTTAGTGAAAAAGTTACATGATCGATATCACACATCGGTTTTTTTTTTTTTTAACTCAATAGATATTTAAGGAATAAATGAACAATTTCGATCGGAATTCATTCTGAATAATAACATCTTACTTATACTTAGACGATGTGACGCAACGAAGGGATCCGGGATGGGTCGTCAAATCGCATAATCGCGAAACAAATTTAAGCATCATACAGATACACAGGTAGGTATTAATTTTATTTCGTACTTGGTAGAGCTGCACAAGACAACGATTACCGGAAATGCATGCGTAGACAGCACAGGTGAATGCGCGTAAACGTGATCAAGCGGACAATTTTTTTTATATACCGAATAATACAGCTGATCACGAAGAATTTACCCTAAAAAATTCCTGGCGTCCCGTAAACGTATATATATCATCCTGCCAAACTGTCTAAAAATTTCGTCAATCAATGACAACGAAAATCTTTTATCGATACGCTCGATCAATGCTGTGTTTGACGTGTCTGATCATTTGATTCTTCTTTTTCCACGGTAACAAAGTACGCGCTCTGTATACGCAGACCTGTTCAACTAAGCCAACCATTTATACTAGTTTTCTTTTCATTAAAAGCCTAATTTCTTACCGTGTAACATGTCACATATAACACAAAGATTTGTCTACTATCTCTTCACTACATCATATACATATCCATACACGCATACATCATGTATGTATGTACAACTAAAATACCGTTCTATACATAAATGTCTTTTTTTTTTCACCATAAAGAAAAGAACGTGCGAAATAAAATGTACTACGCGCCGTGCCTAGCGGCTAACGCGCGTCAATTCCATGTAGTTTTAAACGAAAACTACGTCCTATTTTCTAGCGGAGATGGTGGCTGTACAAAGATAGAGGAAACTCGTGTGCCTACGTCGTCGCTGATAGTCGCGAACACAATGCAGCCACATGAGCGTCTCGAGAAATCGCGCAAGGGGGAAAGAAAAAAAAAAGACCCGCAGTTATCTTCTCTAACGGTACATAACGTGGAATGGATTCCGAAGAGATGTGCTCTCAACACGACTAACGAGATTTGATATATTTACAGTCACTGACGTGCGGAATATATCGCGAGCCCGTTTCCAAATCGCACCTTCGCACTTCAATCGCTCATCTATTTATTCTTCACGGCCTTTACATTAATAGACGGCTTTTCTATAAAAGGAACCGAGCGCTTCTGTGTCAGAATTAACGAGTAGATGTCCGGAGCATTCTTTGATCTAAAAATGATTTATACATATATATATGATGTAACGGTTAATACATTAATAAGAAAAATGTATATTAGGCACATTAATAATATATCAGAAATATAATAGGAACATATTTAAATATATTTAAAGCGATAAGGATTGATACTGTATCGCGCTGGCATGTCCGCGGCACTCTATCTACATCTCGTTATTGCAGATGTTCTCAGTTCCTTCTATATATTTCCAAGGCACGAGCACTTTCTTGTTCAAGATAGCTGGATTGCTCACAACTTGACTCACATCGCAGGACTGTAATCATTAGAGAAATAAGACTCGATATCAGATGTCTACGTCTGATTAATATATAACTGTATGTATACTCTGTGTGTATGTGTGTGTGCGCGCGCGCGCGCGTGTGTGTGCATGTGTGACATTGCAATGCAAACACAGAGCTGTACATTTATTTTACACGTGAACAATTGAGGGAATTCTTATACAATTTTTTTTCTCTTATCGAATGGGAAAATTTCTGTGCACTTTCGGATAGATATTTCACCCTCACATTCCTGTTATTACACGTAAAAAAAAATTGCATATATCATATCGCTTATATAACTACATAATATAAAAGGCAGCCAAGGCACAAATTTGGGCGGTGCGCAACAAAGTATATAGTGTTCCATCAATCCTTGAGAGCGTTAAGCTTGAAGTCGAATTTCCGCAGATTTCGAAGTTCAAAGGATCGTTTTGAAGATCAGGCACAAAGGCTCAGGCAAGATTGTTTTGTAAACGGGCATCGCGACTAATCTATGATTCTGTTAACAAGGAAATTAAGACGTGGTGATAATATGAAATATAAGCTACAAGTATAATGTTGCGTATGAAAAACTATCCACGTACACGTACATCTTATAGTAATGCATCGTGCTCGTTCGAGCGTGACAGAGCTCAACATGCTGAAAAGATTTCGCAACACCTATCTAATCGATTCGCTGTTCATCAATGCAGATTACGATTTAAAAGAGATCTGTAATTGTAGTATACATTTCTCGATGAAAAGCCGATCAGGTATAATCAGATCACATCTTGCAGAAAGGAACCAATTCGGAGAAAGATTCAGAAATGACCATAAACGTATGGCATTTTTCTTACTTTTAACAGTTTTATCTTCTAATATAGAATACTGATCGGTTCCTTCGTACAAAATTCGATTAATTCAATCATTTTATCAAACGATAAATTTTTCTTATCGAACGGCTGAAAATATCTTACATTTTACCCTTTTTTTGTAATCATCGATTATTGTCTCCATCACTTGTGCAATTAGCGCAATTGTACCACATTATGCAATATCGAATAAACATTTTATCGACGTTTACGTTTGTACCAAAAACATC